AAGCCGTTGGCTGAACCTTAGGCAAAATATAATTATGCGACCTAGTTCTCAACTGCCGTGTTCTCTGGGGAGGTAAGAGATCGCTCAACGCAGTGTTGGTGGAAGAGATCCTTTGCCATAATTTCTTATCTCTATTACAACGGATATCCAAGATACTGTGTTGCTTTAAGCAGTAACCCAGCTTATAACACCTGGCAAAGAGCTTATCAATTCTACTTAAATATTTACTATAAAAAGCACACCCCCAGACCTCAATAGCATATGTAAAAACTGAAAGAATCAAACTTTGAAAAAGTAAGTCCAAATTCTCAATAGGGTAGCCATAATATTTACATATTCTCAAAATATACAACCTACTGCTAGCCTTACTAAGTAGATAATCAATATGAGTGTCCCAATTAACTGGCACTTGCTCAAAGGTAACACCCAATAGTTTCAGTTTTTCTTTCCTCCCTATGATCTCGAGTGGTTCAGGAGGCGTCTTGGAAGTCTTTCCTCGTAAAAGAAGTTCCCATGTTTTCGTCAAGTTGACTTTCATGCAGTTCTTCTCGGACCATTCAATAAAGGATAGGACTTCCGTTTCGGATTCATCTAAGCCTACATTTGCCTCGATTGGTAAACTAATAGTTATAACATCAGCAAATTTAACTAGAAGACTCTTATTAATTAGTATTAACAGCTTTGATATCGTTAATTGAGCAATTAAGGCCGATCTCATTAGCTTCGCTGAAATTAACTGTTTGAATCATTTTCTATTTGGTCACGGACTTTCAGTACAGCGGCGAGTGGTTGAAATTAAATTTTATTGCAAATCTGGTTTTAGCCGGACGAGGTCAATTTGTTTCATGGCCTTATGTCGTGTGTTATGCCTCGATCACAACTGAAAGGAGTACTCAGAATACTCAAAGAAATGGCGTTCGCAGAGGAGTAACAATTGAAGAAATTGCAGAAAAGAAACCTGAAAAAATTTCAAGCTTCAAAGACAGTAGAGCCCGTGCCTCCCAGATACAAGTTGGACACCATCAGCAATTGAGCTACAAGGCCACAGAATGTGAATACGAAAGCAGGATTTGCATCACTAAAGGACACCCGACAGGCATAGGCGGGAAATCCTAAAAGAAACATTTGCAAAATTGTGTTCTCAAGCAGCGGTCTTTTTTCTGCTCATCATGCGTACGCACTGGCACGTTTCTTTGTTTGAGCAGCGTATACGAGTCGTAAGAGGTGAATGCAATCTTTTTAACTGATAATTCTTTTTTCTTTTGCTCCAAAAATCTATTTATCAGTCATATCACTCCATCATGTGAGGGCTCAGAAGCTAATTAAACCTATTATAGACATAACAGGACGTGAAATCATGCGATCAAAAGAGACACAAACAAGTAGTTTGCAAATACCTTTTTTTCGGATTTACCGAATAAAAACGCAAAAGAAGGAAATCCATGAAACCTGGAGATGAATTTCTCAAACTCGGTTTTTTATCTCAAAATCTAAAACCGGATTTCCCGCTGGAAGCACATTCCATTAACAAAAAAAGACAGATGCATAATAATAAGGCAGGGGTCGCACTTACGCTTTTGGTGTTTACATTGGACATAAAATCTGTCATCGCGTGCTTGCGACAAGTGCGACCCTTTTGTCGCGACCAGACATAACTATGTCCGAAGGACCTAAAGATAAAAAAAGCCGATGTCCTGCCTCGAGGCAGGGCATATCTCGTCTTATCGCCTTTCTCAATTTCTCGCTTGGTCGATGAAGCGGATCGAGAAGCCACTCTTACTTCACTGTCTGTGAACTTGACATTGCTCCACCGGAAATCATGCATTGCGCGTGCAACCTACAGATTATTTACTAACCTGTAGGTACAGGTTAGTGAATAATCTGTAGGTTGCGCTGTTTCCCAGAATTAACTGTAGGCGTTTAGCCAATGAGAAGACAGATGGTGACTACAATGTCTAATAATAAATATTATCAGACACTTAAGATATGCCTATCTACCCCTTTGATTAAATTCAACTTAATCAAACTATTAACACATCATGATCACGTGGTAATTTCTATCATGGCAGGTCTTCGCATGGTACAGCCGGGAAGACTCGTGTCCAATGCTCTGAAGTACTCCGGCCGCAGACGTAAAGTTGGGGTCCATCACAGTGGTAACCTGGGACGAGTTGCCTCCGTTATAACTGCTAAACGAGTCGACAACTTGGAATTTATCGATTACTGCGATTTAAAAGCGTTCTACAACACGATAGAGACCGTGTTTGCCGTTAAATTATTAACCACTTAAGTGTTCCTTTTTTGATGGAGTAAAACACGGTCCTTGCGTTACAAAGGCTTAGATATAGTTTATGTTTTCATTCATTCCCATACATACATACATGCATAAACTTTATTTACATACATACATACATACATATACATACATACATACATACATTTATTGTGTTTTGGGATAAAAGTACAGTAACATGCCCGCAGGTAGCTAAGCTAATCTAGGCGGGTCATGTTTACAGGAAATAGATACAACTAAATGCAGCTAAAAGTAACAAGAGAACTAAAAAGCTAGAATTCACAACAATGATTACAGACTACTGATAAACTAATCATATTACTAATAATAAATGACAACAGTCTTGACGGGAGATAACTGATGCATTAAACGATATAATTGAATACATATCAACTGATCAATCAAGAGGAAGATAAATTCAACTTAACTCTTTGAACGATTTCTGGAAGATCAATGTAACAATCTTCTGAAGCTAGGATCTCAAAAAGTGTTTGTTTTATTTTCCTCTTGAAGACATTTTTTGAAAGTTTTCTAAAAGATACAGGCATTTCATTCCATATTTTTGCTCCGATTCTAGAAAATGAATTCACTTGAATTGAGAGTCTGGAGCTTTGTATGTAAAATTTATTAGAGGCAGAGGATCGAGTATTATAAGAATGAATATCAGAGACATCTCGAAAAAGATTTTGAATGTTTCCAGGAGCATTACTGTATCTTATTTCAAACATAAGGTTAGCTAAATGCTCATAATGCAAAAATTTTAACGGTAAGACACCGGCGTCGATAAATAAAGGAATTGCATGCTTATTTCGCTCCGAGAAATAGATAAAGCGAAGAGCTCGCTTTTGAAGCTTGAGAAGCTTTTCAAGGTACGGTTTATATGCTTCACCCCAGGCCGTCAAACCAGTTTAATAAGGAGCAACAAGGGATCAATAAATAGTTCGAAGAGTATGTCTTGCCAGATAATGCCGTAGGTTACAGATCATTCCTACAGTTCGACTCATTTTAATAGCTACGTGGTCAATATGATGTTTCCAGGAAAGGTTATTGTCAATTATTATACCTAGATATCTCACGAATTCTTTACATTCTAGAGCCACATTCTTATTTTGATCGTTGTCGAATACCATTATTTTGGGGTGATAGGTAAGTTTTCTCTGAGTCGGTCTAAAAATTACGCAATTTGTTTTTTTAATATTCAAGGTTAGTTTATCGGCCGTTAACCAATCGAATAACTTACAGAGTTCCTGATTTACAGTCGACTCAAGGGACTTGAGATTTTTGTCAGCATATACAGCGTTCGTGTCATCAGCAAATAAAAAGAATTTAAGTCTCGAATTTAAGAGTAGCTGAAAGTTAATATCTTCGAGTGATTAAAATGAAGCAAAAGGAAAAAGCTAAACTAGAATAAATGAATAATAATATATTAATGATGATAAATGTTTACATATTAACATTATTTAAATGTTATTATACTACTAAATTCAGTATAGTTACACAAAGGAGTCATACTGAAGCATTTGGCGCCGAAAGTCTGGAAAATTGGAAGTTCTAAAGGTGTCCGGGAGAGAGTTCCATAAGTTAGCAGCTAATTAAGAGAAAGAGTGAAGGCCATATGTTGCTGTTTTAGGTTTTGGAAGGGACTTACCACGTAAGTTATAGGACGTAGATCTAAACGTAAACTTATCATTTAAATATCCTGAATAGTTAGTAAAAAATAAACTCTTGTACAATATGATTGGAAAATTCTGTAGTCGTCTGATTTGAAGAGATTTTAAGTTGACCTTATCCATTAACGTATTCTACGAGGATTCACAATCTTGTAAAAGAAACCTTAAAATCCGCTTGTTTAAGGCCTCCACTTTACCAAAATTGCGGGTGCCGCAAAACTGCCACACAGAGGAGCCGTAATAAAAATGCGGCAGGATAAAGGCCTTATCTGGCTTTAATAGAGTGTCTCTAATTATGATCCAAGATAATGGAGGATATGTTGCTTTTCCCAAAGCTTGTTTACGGGGTAAATAGGAAGGGGAAACAAACACTTCACGTTTGTAGTACTTTGGCTATGATCATATCACCATAGCCGCTTCATTAGATAAATTTAAATTTTATTTTTGATTTGAACAACATTCATAAAATTTGACTCTGTC